AAGCCTCCAGAAGGTCAGCGCCGGGCCCACCATCCATCAGCTTAATCTGATATACTCCATGACCAGGACTGACATCCATGGAGAGCAGAGGGCAAAAACACACGCAGCCCCGGGCCACAGAGACTTTCAAGCATACTGTAAAGTTATCTGTTAGACAACTGTTATATTTTTACTTTTATTATTTCTAAGCATCTAAGCTACATATCATACCATAAGCTCAAGCAGAAAAACTGATGTCACATGAACATGGTCAGTCTAACTTAGCATGTTAACCATGAGCCGCTACATGTCTGTAAATATAACATACTGAAGTTCATACTGCATGATGTTAACCTTATGACATGACTTATTAAGCCTGCTCTCGACTAGATAGGCAATGTTTAATTGATATAAGCACTGTGAGCACCAATATATGTCTATCTCCAGCCCGACGATCTTACTGTGACTTACTATAATAGACAAACTGAGCTAGCCTGTACTAAGCCTATTTAATGCCTACCAAACGACATGTCTCACATCCTGCCTACTTTAAAAAAATACTGTATAACATGTTCACATATCACAGTTACCCTACCTTGGTCAATCAGGCACCGTTAAACTTTACTTACTCCACCTGCTTAGACGACATGCCTGCCTAGATATGCCTGTTTTCCATAGAGAGCAATCTGTGTGATTTAAACAAGCTTAATTCTTTCTTTTCCTTTCTTTGTTCTTAATTAAAAAATGTGCATACTCCTAAACACCCCGATGTTATAAGTGTTGAAACTCAGCGTGGGGATTGCCATTGGGGCACCACACGCATGCTGTTATATATCTTTGCACTGAAAAAATAAATAAATAAATAAATAAAAATAATAATAATTGCAAAATTAAACAATTTTGTTTTCATCCAGGTTGTGTCAGTCACTGCCAGGGGAGGTGTGGTTAGGCTGCATACACAGAAACAGAAGTAATTTAACTCCTAAATTGCAGGAAATTGAGCAGTGAGACTGGGGCATGATCTATAAACAAAAACTGCTTTATTAACTCTGTAACAACCCCTACCATATTACCTGGAGACCTCAACCTTTTCATACCACCATCAACCTTGCCTTTTACCTAAGAACAAAGACTGCTCCTGTAATTGCTTTCGTCTAATGGATGTATAATAAAAGACCGTTCGTATACTGAATTTTTCACCAAACGCCCGACCACCCAGAACAGAAGTGTGGCACTCATTTACCTCCCTGACTCTAATATCACAGTGAACCGTGAACACTCCATGGGTTTAATTGTTATACAGGGTGGTCGGCGTTCTTTTGCATGAACACGTGGCAGTGGCCATTTTGCTTAGTCGAACGCACTCAGCAGTGTTTGGTTGTCGACCGTGTGGAACTATTTTCGGCTAGACTTTTCCACGAACACCGCTGAAACTTCCACCCTCCGTGCGTTCGGCTAAATTCATCCGAACAGAGCGCTCTTCAACAAAACAAACTCACAAACTAGTTGTATCTAGAGAGACTAAGCACGAATCAATCAGTTTGTGCAAAGTGGGATGTTTGTCGAATGAAAAATAGACCGACCACACAGTCTGGATCTGTGGAACTGTTTTGGGCATACACACAGATGTGCGGTCAGTCCAAAGAGACTTTTTACTATCTTCTGAACTACCGAACCGATTTACGCAAATTTTGGATATGTTTGTCCCCAAATTGTGCTGTTCATAAAAATATAGTTTTATTCATGTACGATGTAAAATGAGAAAGTTATAAAAATGTATAAAAAGGATAAGTTTTTAGCTTGGAGATAATTGAGTAGATACAGTAAGTAACTCAATTATCTCCCAAGCAGATGGGAGGGAATATGTGGGTTGTAACCATTGTTTGATTGGCTAATGTATAATTGTCTGTGGGTGTCTCCCTTGCATGGGAGCACTGCATAAAAGGAGAGTATCTGCCATTAAACCTCAGTTCTACTTCACCCTTCAAAACGTAGCTTTGTCTCGTCATTGAAAGGGAACCTTCTCAGCTAATCACTAGCTTTTTTAAGAGCTCTACCTCTCCCTCTCTGCTTGGATCCAGCTGATGGAAATAGCATCTTGCCAGGAAAAAGTACGTCTCCAACGGCTGATACCCCCTCTCCACTGGGGTAGTCATTACAAACCCCTTCCCGACCGATGAAGTATGAGGTACGTCTGACAAAAAACGGTCCTTAAGGACCGCGGACGTACCTCATACGTCCATGGTAAATTTGAGTGCTGGAAGCGATCGTGATTACTTCCAGTTGCTCTATGGGTATTACACAATGCCACTATACCAAGGCATCGTGGAATACCCCCCCCACACTGCCGGGCACCTGAGTGATCGCTCTCCCTGGAGCAATCACTTCCGGGTTGCCGCATGTGGCACCCAGCAGTGTGGAGCAGAGCATTGGAAGCCTTCAGGCAGGCTTCCGATGCTCCGCCTGTACTGAGTGCCTCTAGGCTCAGTAAAATAAATAATAAAAATTTCAAAAAAAAATTAAAATAAATTACCCCCCCCTCCACGGTCAGTCTGCTCTGTAGGACCCCCAGGGGCCATGTGACCGCTCTAAAAGACTGGCAATCCCTTTGCTGGTGAAAAAAAAATTAAACTTAATAAAAGTTAAAAAAAAAAAAAATAATTGCTTGAAAGTAGGCTATTTAAAGTAGTCTCTTTTAAGTAGGAGTTAAAACAACAGGAGTTTGTTGGTGAACTGGTGGACTGTGGTTGGTATTAGTTAATACCAAGTGGAAAAGAAAAGCAGGTTTAAATTTTAGTATTTTTTTTTTTTTCCCTCTCTTTTTGGGTTTTGTTTTGTTTGTATTTTGTGTTTTTTTTTGTTTTTGTTTTGTTTTTACTTTACCCTTTTTAAAAAAACCAAATTATTTCTCCTTACTGTTTTGATTTATTTTAATATTTTGTAACTTTTTTCCCCTTTTCATATATATTTTTTCTCTTTGGATATATTTAAACTTTGTTCCTTTTTTTTTTCTCTTATATATTTTCACCTTGCTGGTATTATTTAAAACTTTTTCCCTCTTTTTTTTTTCCCCCCCTCTCTTGTTGTTTCTATTCCCCTCCTTGTGGGTGCTGCTGCTGCTGAGCTAATTAGGGGGAGTGCCCCTTAATTTCCACCTGTGTGGGATTTGTATTGCAAATATAAACCCACTACTGACTCACAGAGCTTGCTCACTGGAGTTTGCTTTAAAGTAGGCTATTTAAAGTAGTCTCTTTTAAGTAGGAGTTAAAACAACAGGAGTTTGTTGGTGAACTGGTGGACTGTGGTTGGTATTAGTTAATACCAAGTGGAAAAGAAAAGCAGGTTTAAATTTTAGTATTTGTTTGGTTTTTTTTTTTTTTTTCTCTCTTTTTGGGTTTTGTTTTGTTTGTATTTTGTGTTTTTTTTTTGTTTTTTTTTTTTTTACTTTTACCCTTTTTAAAAAAACCAAATTATTTCTCCTTACTGTTTTGATTTATTTTAATATTTTGTAACTTTTTTCCCCTTTTCATATATATTTTTTCTCTTTGGATATATTTAAACTTTGTTCCTTTTTTTTTCTCTCTATATTTTCACCTTGCTGGTATTATTTAAAACATTTTCCCTCCTTTTTTTTTTCCCCCCCTCTCTTGTTGTTTCTATTCCCCTCCTTGTGGGTGCTGCTGCTGCTGAGCTAATTAGGGGGAGTGCCCCTTAATTTCCACCTGTGTGGGATTTGTATTGCAAATATAAACCCACTACTGACTCACAGAGCTTGCTCACTGGAGTTTGCTTGAAAGTAGGCTATTTAAAGTAGTCTCTTTTAAGTAGGAGTTAAAACAACAGGAGTTGAAACTACAAGGGAGTTTAAACCAAGAGGGTTAACATTTTTTTTTTTTTTTGCTCACTTGTGTTTTTTGTTACTGGGGATGAGTGCTAGCAAGATTGCAAATTTAACTCAGTGCACATCATGCCGCATGTATGCATGCCTGGATGGTTCTGTCCAGGGTCCATACCTCTGTGGTGGGTGTGAGCGAGTGGCATTTCTGGAAGCTCAGATTAGAGATCTGGAGAGGCAAATTGTAACACTGAGGGAGATTGACAATCTTGAGAGGAGTCTGCTGCTCACTGAGCAGAGTTTAGTGGGGACAGGTAGTGGAGAGGGAGGAGATAAGACAGATGGGGAACAGGCACGTAGCTGGGTGACAGTGGGGAGAGGAAGCAGGGGGGGAGGGAAGAGAAAAGGTTTAGCTAGTCCTGATCTCATGCAGCCTAACAGATTTGCCCGTTTGAGTGAAGATGTTGGGAGCATCAGCTCAGGAGTAGCTGTACTGCAGGAAGCTGTTCCTGCTAACAGCCGTGGAAACAGCCCCTCTAGTACGGGTGGGGTTGAGAGGGTAAGGAAGGCTAGACAGGTTGTGGTGGTAGGGGACTCTATTATTAAGAGAGTAGATAGGGTAATCTGCCACTCTGATCGACTCAACCGGACAGTTTGCTGTCTCCCGGGTGCTCGGGTCCGGCATGTTGCCGACAGAGTGGAGGGATTATTGGGAGGGGCTGGAGATGACCCAGCTGTCATGGTCCATATTGGTACCAATGACAAAGTCAGAGGAAAATGGAAGGTCCTAAAGAATGAGTTCAGGGAACTAGGAAGTAAGCTTAAGAAAAGGACCTCCAAGGTAATTTTTCAGAAATATTACCTGTGCCGCGCGCTACAGCAGAAAGGCAGCGGGAGATTAGAGAGGTCAATGCGTGGTAAAGTCTTGGTGCAGGAAAGAGGGTTTTGGGTTTTTAGAGCACTGGGCCGATTTTGCGCTTGGGTACAACCTGTATAGTCATGATGGATTGCACCTAAACGGAAGAGGGTCTGCTGTGCTGGGGGATAGGATGGCTAGAAGGTTGGAGGAGATTTTAAACTAGTGGTAGGGGGGGAGGGTCAAAGCAATCTAGAAAATGGAGATATGATGGAAAAGAGATGGGCTTTAGCTCAGAACAAAGGGGGTGGAGATGGGGGGAGGGGAAAACTCAGAACAGAGGAGGTATGTAATATTGATAATTCACAAAAAGTACAAAAGACTCATGATAATATTAAATGTATGCTTACTAATGCAAGGAGCCTATATAACAAAATGGGGGAACTAGAGGCAATAGCATGCACTAAACAATATGATATAATAGGCATAACAGAAACATGGTGGGATGAGACACATGACTGGGCAGTTAATTTAAATGGGTACACGTTATTTAGGAAGAATAGGAAAAACAAGAAAGTGGTGGGGTATGTTTATATGTCAACCGTGAGTTAAAGTCAAATCTTAGGCATGTGGAGTGTGACGAGGAAAAGGTGGAGGCTTTATGGGTAGATATCTGCTTGGGGCAAACAAAGGGAAATCATTTATTGGTTGGGATATGTTATAAACCACCTAATGTAAATATTAATGAGGAAGAACAGCTGTTAGAGCAAATTGAGAAAGCTGCAAATGGGGAATGCTTGGCGTTAATTATTGGAGATTTAATTATAGACATAGGAATTGGGAAAGAAGGACTGTACTTGTAGGGAATCAGGTTTAAAGATGTATTCGTAAGCACCTTTATGTCACAACTGGTACAAGCACCAACTAGA